TGAAGCCAACCTGGAGATCGCAGGACGAGAGCCTCCTCTCAGCACTTGTGCGGCCCCACGCACCAGGGCCACAGGCACAGCCTGGCGGCTCCCATCCCTCAAGGCCTTCAAGTCCACAGGGATCTGGCTGCCCTTCTCCAACCTTCCCGGCCCCAGCTGCCCTGCTGCTCCCACCTGGGCCGCCAGCCTGCTCCAGGCCTGGCTGGCTGCCCTGTCCGCGGTTTGCAGTCTGTGCTCTCATGCCCCTTGCCCTGAGGTAGGGTGCTCGAGAGCACAGGAAGCCGCTGAAGGCTTCGTCCAGCCCAGTAAGGCCAGGCTCACCTTATCTCCCACCGCCCGGCTGCAGGCAGAGCCTGTGGGTACTGAAAGAGCAGAGCACTTGGAGCAGCACAGACAGCTCCAGGCCAGCGCTGGGCATCTTCCAAGAGCACAAGGGCACCGGACAACTTAGAAGGGAAAATACGTTCAAATAAAGGAAATCAGTGTGAGAGCAGAAGTTAGCGTCCAGTGTTCACGATGCCTAGCTACCCCCTTGCACCCCGGTGTGGTCTTGAACCCAGGACTCCCTGTCTCTGGGGGCCCTAGTTGAGGGGTATGTGGAGCTGGTGGGAGAGATGGCCCCGTTCGCCAGAAACTGTAGGCCTGGGTTCAGAGTTGAGGAGACAAAACCCAGAGCCGCACTCTCATAACCCCGGGCAGCTTACTCAGTGGCACTGGGGCCCGGGTCTCCCATCTGTCAAATGGCCCGTGAGTGCCTGCTCGTTGGGGGCACTGTGGGACAGGGAGGAGATAGAAGCCCCAGCCTGAGGCGAGGCCCGGCCCAGAGTTGTGTCCAGGAGGTGGCAGCTACTGGCCTAGCTCCTCGCTAGTGGTGCTCTGGAATTCAAAGCTGCTGTGTGACCAAGGTAGAATGTTGTCTGGAACACAGGCAAGAAAGATGACACTGCTGGCCTGCAGAATGATGCCCAAGCGTGGGCTCCACAAACAGAGCTTGTAATTTCCACCTGCATTGGCTTTGACCTTCCCGTCTTGTTTCCAGCAGGCCCTGGCTCCCTCCCGGCCTCCCTGCACTAGCTGCTATCACGGCAGAACAGAATGACCCGTTTGCTAGAGCAGGTCCTTACTCAGCTGCTAGGTGTTTGCTGGCCACTACAGGGAGTGACTCGGGTGATGTCTCCTCTCCACACCCTAGGCTGGCTTCTCCTGCTGTCTAGCAGTGGGCAGCGAGGACTGGGCCTCAGGGAGAAGGGGAGCCCGTGGGGAGAGCAAGGTGACTGCTTCTCCTCGAGCCGTGTTTTCAGGGGAGCAGAGTCTGGGAAGGCAGGAGCTGTGCGCTCCCGGCACCCGAGGACGGTGGCCGCAGCACCCTTTCCCTGGCAGGGGCGAGGCAGCACGCCCCACGGCCTAGTGGGGGGACATGGGCACAGAGCAGATGTGGAGGACAAGGGACAAGCAGCACTGGGCTGGGGCCTCCTGTCGCGGACCAGCACTGGTGCTCCATGCGGGTGGGGACCAGGTCCCTGGTGTCCCCAGGGGTGCAGGCCGGGTCAGGTGAATGGGGAACACAGCCGGCTCTGAGACTCCCAGGCCTGCGGACCACTCAAGGTGCAGCCCCACCGAGCTCAGTCTCTCTGTGCTCAAGCAGCTGCCCGGTCAGCTAGGATAAGAACAGGCAGTCAGTGGTGCACTCACATGCCAGCCTGCATGGCCAGTGTTCTCACTCGCACCTCCTGGGTGGTCGTCCCTGCTGAGGAGGGAGGACAGAGGGCAGAGAGTCCAGAGAGAACTGGCAGGTTCAGCCATGGGGCAGGGGGCATGGACGGGGCCCAGCCAGCAAGCCCGCAGCGCAGCAGGGCAAGGCAAGCAGAGAGGAGGCTGGAGGAGGCTGGCCTTGAACTCATGACAATCCCCCTGCCTCAGCCTCCCAAGTACTGAGCTTACCAAGGTGCACCACCTCGCCTGGCTTCTACGCCATTCTTCAGGGTGAGGCTAGAGTTTACTTTTCAATGCCTTTCTGTACTTAGCACAGGAGTGGGTCATGCAAGTACTCAGTAAATGAGTAATTTACATATTTAACAGCGATACACTTTGTACATTTATATACATATATATACATAATTTATATAGCTATTGGTACCTACAGTGTAACTTCCACTGTGCAGGTAATTCTGCTAAAATGATACCGGCATTTGTGGATAGCCTTGCATCCTGAAAAATTGCAAAATCCAGAGCTTCAGAGTATGGGAGGGTTCCAGTGGACCACTCACAACTCGTGGGAGTCTGTAACAAAGTACAGTCCTAATAAAGACAGCAGCAAGGTTAAAACGGCATGCTCAAGTTTGAATTTTAAAAGAAACCAGGTATGGTGGTGCACACCTGTGATCCCGGCACTCTGGCAGGCTGAGCCAGGAGGGTCCTAAATTCAAGCTCAGCCTGGGCAATTTTAAAACTTAGCGAGGTCTTGTCTAAAAATAAAAATAAAAAGTGTTGGAGATGTAGCTCAGTGCCAAGGCCCTGGGTTCAATCCCCAGGACCACAGAAGAGGGAAGGAGGGGAAAGAAAGAAAATTCAGTGACTTTAGGACCTGTGTGACCGCCGGGCAATAAACAGAAAGAAGTGACTTTTGAAGACAGCTCAGAAGGGGTCGGGCTGCAGGGCCTCGGAGCCAGGCGGTGGGGACCGACACCTCAGCAGGGCACCGACCAGCCTGGTCCCACAGGGAGAAGGGGACACCTGGGCGGCCACACTCCTGAGACAGCGTGGGGCCCTGAGCCAGGGAGGGCGTGCAGAGGGTGCTGGGGTCAGTGGCCTCTGGCTGTGCCAGGCCACAGTCCAGCCGCGGGACTCGGTGGCTCAGTCGGCACGCGGGAACATTCCCATAACAAACTCTCATTCACATCCCCCACACACCCCGGTGAGCTCATCTGCCCCTGCAGCATGTACAGGAGGAAGAGCACACACATCAGCCCTTGGTACCCCTGGGTTGGTTCCACCGCGTCACCCACAGCTGCTGATGGCTGGAAAATACCTGGGGAAAAATTCCGTGTGTACCAAACACATTCAAACTTTCTTCTTGTCGTTATTCCCTAAGCAACGCATTGCAGCAACTACTGACATAGCAGTTACATCACACCAGACGTGACGTCACCTGAAGGTGATTTCAGGTCTGCAGGGAGTGCATAGATTATGGCGGGCAGTGCGCCTTGGTTCATAAATGGCTTGGGCATATGAGGATTTTGGTGTCCAAAGCGGGTCCTGAAACAGCCCTCTTGGTACCTAGGGATGAATGACTAATTGGTGAGTCGAGAATGCCAGCTGGCTAGCTGATTTTGGGAGCGGTGCCAGCCGTGCCCCCTGGGTAAGTTGTGGACCGTCCCCCTCGGTGTGTGAGCCTGTTTAGTAAACCCAGCTCACACGAAGCATGTGAGGCAGGAGCACAGGGAACCTGGCGGTCCTAGTCAAGAGCACGGTCACCTGGGTTGAGAAGGCCCTTACCACCAGGAGCAACGGGACTACCTTGGTCACACCTTCCGGCCTGGGCTCAAAGACGGCTTCAGGCTGAGTGGCCCCTGGAGAGTCACTCAGCCACTCTGCCCCCGTGTCCTCAGGATAGGGCTAGTGATTCATCCCTAGTAAGTAAGGGGTGGATGAGCTGTGGGCCCAGCCAGTGCCTGGAGCTCTCAGGGCAGCTGGTCTCCTGAGGTACCTCTGAGCAGGGTGGTTAGTCCTAGGGCAGCGCCCAGGGGACTAAACTCTGGAATAGAAACCAATCGGTCACTGTGGTCACTGCAGCAGCCTGAGCCACCTTGCAGGAAGGAGGTCAGGGAGGTCCCCCGGCCCCTGACAGAGGGGCCACCTGCCCGTGCTCTGCAATCGGGGCCTGAGGTCGCCTGCCCTCCCTCGGCTGTGCCCCACAGTCCTGGCCCAGTGCAGGGTGCAGAGGAAAAGAGCAAGCCTCCAGCCGTGTTCCCGTGCCACTTCCGGCTGGCTGGCGGCATCGGGGATGGCACTGCTTGGCGTGCATCCTCCATAGAGGATGGGCAGCTCCTCCTTTCTGAGGAAGAGCCTCACAGACCAGCGCCTTTCAGACTTCAGCGAGCCTGGGGTGGGGGCTTCTGAGAATGCAGGTCCCGGTTCCCGGAAGCTCTTAGGTGATTTCGCCTTGACTGGAAAGAATCTAGCTCAAGTGTGCAGTGCATGGCAAGTCCTCGGGGAGCTCAAACTGCCACCTCGAAGATTTTCTTCACCCCAGCCAAAGGCGGTCCTTTGAGAGCAGGGACAGGTGGATGCAGAAACCTCAGCTCATCTGAGAATTCCTGGAGAAACAAGGAAAACAAGTTTTGCTCTGCAGGCACGGGGCTGTGAGAAGCCAGGGGCGAGGCTGGCCTGGTCAGCAGCACGGCTGCGGCAGGTCCCGGCCACTGGGGCCGCTGCCCGGCTGGCACAGAGCCTCCAGTGCTCAGCTCCACTTGCCACACTGCAGACAGCCTCAGCTGGGCACAGCCTGGCCCTTCTGGCTACAGCTTTGCCGAGGATGTTCAAAGCATGCAGCGTGCGCCTGGCAGGAGTCACTGGGGATGTAAATATGCGTTGAGGCCTTCGTTAAGGATGCCATGTCTTTCCCACTCAAGACACAGGGCACAGGGCTTCCCCTCTGCCCTCACCAGCATGGACGCGTGCTTAGCCCGCAGCTGCCGGGGGAACAGGCACTGACGACTGGGGGCACAAAGGGAAGTGCCCCATGCCTCTCCTGAAAGGCCTGCCTGCCCTCGCTGCTGACTCACCCAGGTTCAGGGGCTTTTCTTCCCTGTCCCTCTCAGAACCAACACGGAGCCCAGAGATATGGGTTTGTTTCATGGGCAGCTCGGTCCTTGCTCCAATTCCTCTTCTTTTCATGCCCCCACCTCCACCCAGTGCCCTGGTGACCCAGCCAGCTGGAGAAGAGACGGAAGCGCAGTTGCTCAGGCCTGCTGCTAATCTCCAACTCCCCTTCTTCGCAGGTCCCGAAGCCCTGGCTGCTCCCAGAGTGCATCTGTCAGAAGATTCCCAGGATGTGAGCCACACAAGTGTGGTGAGTGACACTGCGCTGGGCTGTGGTCCCAGGTTGGATTTGGGTTTCGGGGGCTTTCTGGTACCAGGGATCAAACTCAGGACCTTGTGCTCAGAGGCAGGCACAGTGCCACTGCCAGGTTGGATTTGAAGAAGGGAGGGACACGGGTGGGAGGCCGGGGCACGAGGCTCTGCAGTCTGACGCTGCCTCCGTCCACACACAGAGAACAGCCCCACACCAGGCACCCAGGTGGACCCGTGCCGTCGCTGGGGTCCTGCCAGTCCCACCCCAGGTGCCCCTGCAGCCTGCACATGAGCCAGCTGTCCCTGTGCTCCGAGGACAGCAGCCCGGCTCACCTCTGCCAGCCTGTGCTGGGAGCTGTTCTCAGGGAACCTGTAGCCGGAGCTAGGGGAAGCATGCTTAGGGCCCAGAGGAAGCCCACTTGCTTGCACGGTTGGTGAAGCCCCAAGGACACGGGGCTCGGATGAGGCAGGGCGCCTCCTTCAAACATCCAGAGGGCACCCCTGGGCCAGGGGGCAGCAGCGTTGACTCGGCCTAAGCACAAATCCATGGCGGAGAACTGTGGCAACCAGCAGTAGGATCTTGGGTAAGCAGTGAGTTCCCTGGCACTGGCAGAATCAGACAGAGGTTGTAGAAATCTCCGCAGAAAACACTGGAGGGGAGCAGTTTGGCAAAGCTAGCATTTTCACAGACTCAGTCTCTGGGGACATGGATAGCAGGGGAAGAAGGGGACTATTTAGGGGAGGCTGAATGAGGGCAGCTTTGGGGATAGGCTGTGCTACCGAAGCCCTGGGATGAGGGGACCCACCAGTCACCCCAGGACCCACTGCGGCAGCCGGCTGGACCTGAGCTGGCACCAGACATGCACATGGCAGCACTGTGACCCGAGCACCAGTGGGTGTGACAGGCAGCTCCCAGGCGTGGTGGGGCGGGGCGTAGAGGCCATGCAGCCCTCCTGCCCGAATGGATGCGGAAACCATGGCGGGCTGGCCACACCAATGAGGGACACAGCCCAAGATCCAGACCGCACTGCCCGGGAGAGGCCTGGGGAGCACGTGGCAGCCCACACACCCCAGCTCCCCAGGCCCCGGAGGAGGCACAGTGGGGGCACCTGGTGGGCACCACTGCGAGGCCATAAGCTTGGCCACTGAGCAGGTCGCCATCCTGGGCAGGGCCAGGGCCACTCATGCAGGCTGCCCTCTGGGCCTGAGAAAATCATGCTCCAAACCCCAAGGAGCCTCGGGCTGGCAGGCACAGGGGTCTGCGTGATGCCGCTTCCCTCTGCGGTGTGGGGGTCTCCAGGCCCTCCAGCCGGCTGCAGCAGGGTTTCCCAAGGCCCACCCAGGGTGGCGGGGGGCCGGGTGGTGTTTTCCTGTGGCTCTGACAGCCTGGATGAGAAGCAAGGTGTGCACAGCCCATGTGTGCTGCTGAGAGCCCGGCGTGGGCCAGGGCCAGGGTGGAAGGCGGGGAAGGGGAAGGAGCTGAGGCTGGGAGGGCCTGGACGCAGGGCTTGGGCTTGGGCAGGAGATGTGTCCTCGCACTCACAGCACCCGGCACACAGTGGGAGCGCAGTAGATGATGGATCCGGTCATTGAGGCCACTCGGGAGGTGGCATCCGTGCTAGGGCTGAGCCCCTGGAGTCAGGCTGCAGGTTCGAACCCTGCCCTTCCGCCCACTGTGGGCTCAGGCACGTCCCCGTCTCCTCACCGTAAAAGCCGTGAACATTCAAGGAGCCAGTTCGCACCCAGAGGCCCAGCTCCGTGCCAGCCCACAGCAAGTGTGCGATAGGTCCGGGACTGGGCGCAGGGCTGGGTCCAGAGCCGGCGCCAGCAGCCCTGGCACAGCTGCGGGGAGAGGGCTGGGGACACATGCTGCCCGGGGTGCTCGGAGCAAGCAGGCAGCTGGCAGCCCCACCCTGAAGTCCCTACCGGCTCTGATACTGGCCCGGGTCCGAGGCAGCTCTGCCATCCCCTACCACATATACACCTCCAGGAGAACGGGCGATGCCTCTGAATGTCCCCTTCCCCAGTGAGTGGGGACAGCACTGCTGTCTCCTCCCTCCCAAAGCGGCCTTAGAACTGAAGTGACCGCAGACACACAGAGGCACTGTTGGTCCAGGTGGAAAATCGCTTAGGGCCAATGAGTGGGGAGTAGGGAGTCCAGACCCCTCTGGGCGTCACTTCCTTCCCTTCCGCAGTGAGGTCGGCTGTCCCCAGGCCAGATGACAGGCTGCTTGTCCCTGGGTGCCCGGAACAGTGCTTCATTTGGTCGGAGGACCGAGGGTCCGTAGCTCCTCTCAGGCCATCACTGACCTGTCAACCCTGGCTCAGTCATGCCCCTTACATTGGTCGCGGGCCTGGGACTGTGGGAAGAGCTTGCTGGGGGCTGCCTTGGGCTCCCCTGCCCCTACTTGGGGTGGGGGTGCAGTGTGAGCCACATGATCCCTGACATGGGCACAGCCCTGCACCCAGAGCGTGCGTTCGGTGCGGCCACTGTGCGTGACCTTGGAGAGGTCACCTAACTTTCCTGAGCCTCGGTTCCTTGGTCTGCAGCGTGAGCACGTGTGACTGTGGCTGCCGCCTGAGGGGCTTGCAGGGGAATGCAAGAGGGGGCTAGGAGCCGGGAGACTGAGTGTTGGTGGCAGGCTCCAGAGTCCTGTGTGTTGTCACCCTAGAGGAGATGCCTGGCTGGGCTCAGGATGAGGGGCTGGGTTTGGGACGCCCAGTGCACAGCCTGCGGCGACCGCTGCCGGGTATGCTTCAGGGAGGGAAGAGCAGGCTCTGAAGAACCAGCGAGGGCCAAACCATCGCTCCCAAGGGGCTCTTGCCACACCCTCCGGCCTGTTGGGAGAGTGTAGATGGACAGCCAGGTGGGTGGGCCAGGAAGTGACCGCTGTCCCAGAGCCACCTCAGGGACCAAGGGCAGCTAAGCCGAACTGCACTAGGGACACTGGCATTCAGCAGGCAGGACCAGCAGCAGCGGCACCTTCAGGAAACAGTGCCAGCTGCCCCGCCTCCCACCAGTGTGAAACGCACTGCACTGAGGTTTAAACCTGCACCCCTCTAAGCATCCAGTCCTTCGCCCAGCGCAGGTGCTCCTTCAGTGGCATGAGGGGCTCTTTGTTCCTCCCCCAGTGCACGCAGCAGCCCTCGTGCATCCTGCAGCACACAATAGACAGTGTCTGTCAGTCCATTCCGGTTCCGACAGCACACAACCTAGGGCTGGGTGTTGTGTGAGGAAGAGGAGTTTGGGCCGCTCACGGCTCGGAGCCTGCACATCCGTGACCCGGCAGCCCTGTCACTCCGGCCCACAGTGCGGCCCTCCTGGGTGGCCCAGTGTGGAGTGTGCATGGTGGAAGTCCGCAGCCTCACTGAGGGAGTCAGGCAACAGCGGACTCTGTGGGGACCAACAGGTCACCAGGCAGCCACATCACTCCTCCCCAGGGCAGCGCCAGTGACCCGTTGCCTTCCTCTGGGCGCTACCCTCTGCCTCCGGAGGCTCTGCCAGCTCGCCACTGCCCAAGACGACCAGGCTTCCAGCAGGTGGCCCTCTGGGGACACTCTCCAGGCATGCCCAACCCACAGGGACCATACGACTCCTTGTGGCCATTTGTAGGAGTGTGCTGGTGCTGGGAAGAACGGGGCGGGGCCGGGATGGTCCGGGCCCACTGGCATCTTTGGACTGGGACGGCACCTGGCGCCGCCCTCGGTGGGGCCCTCGGAGATGCTCGCAGCAACAGCAGCGTGCTCGGGCAGCTCGGGGAGGAGCAGAGATGGTGCTCGGAATTCCAGAGCCTCCTCTCCTTGAGTCCCCTTGGGCACCCTCAGAGCTCAGCACAGCTGCAGCCCCTCGTGTGCATGGTCTGTGTGAAGATGACACAGCTGGGACTCAAACCCAGGCAGCCTGGCTCTAAACTCTTCTACTTTGCCCCCTTAGTGTTCCCATTAGCTCTCCCTTCAGGCAAGAGAAATTTGCCTTTCTTCATTTACTCCATTGACACCTTTTCTTCAATTCTGTGGCAAAATTCCTTTCTACTGAAAAATAAAACCATCAGAAACGTTTCTGACACAAACATCTCAGATGTGGGCTTTGGCATTCATTCATTTTTCCACCTATCTCCCCATCCATCTGCCCATCCATCCACCCATTTATCCATCCATCCACACATCCACTCATCCATCCGCCTGTCTATCCATCCACCTATCTCCCCATCCATCCACCCATCCATCCATCCACCCATCCACCCATCCATCCATCCATCCATCCCCTCATCCATCCACCCATCCACCCATCCATCCATTGCCCATTTATACATCTGTCCATCAAACCATCCATCTGTCCATCTGCCCACCCATCTATCCAATGCCCAACAAATACAACACAGGACGTCATGAGAGCCCACGCCTTTGCCACTGAGCACTGCAAATCCCAAGCACCTGCATCCTCCAGGTTCTTTATTGCCCGAGGCCCAGAGGGACACTCTCTGCACAGAACCAAGCACTTGATTAATATGCTGCAGTTCGGGCAGCATCAGCCTATTGTAGGCCCCCTCCCCCTGCCCGGTTACCATGACAACATTATTTTAACAAACAGCTTTTTCTTAATATTTAATGAAAATTACGCTTCTGACAGGCGAGCAGAAGAGCAGCCACACCACAAAGGGCGTAGAGGGTCCACAAAGATGTTTCTGCACAAAGCCATCAGTTTCCCCTGATCCCTGTGTGCCATTTGTCGCCAGAAAATGCGAGTGTTCTGGGACCACGAGCCACCGCGGTGCCAGGCCTGGGTTCCATGCAGCGGTCGAGGGCTGTCACTTCTCTAATGCTGACTGTCACGATGGCTCCATGAGGATGGAGTAGCACAACAGCATTATTAAACATGCCTTTGTACACTGATCTGCTCATTTCACCCGGGCTCACTGGCGGCTGCTGAGAGCCTTGTTTGCTTCCTGTGTCTTGATTTGAGCTGGTTATAAGATAGCACGGTGTGCAGAGCCAGGG